TATCATTCTTATTTCCTCTCATTGCGATAATTTTCATTCCTTTAGCGAAAACACAGGTTTGCAATGGATATGCGGAATTATGTAACAGGTCCTATTCCGAAGTAGCGTTTGCTGCAACACATAACTCATATGCATATGGTGTTAATCCTGCGGCAAATCAAAACTATGACATTCCAACACAGTTAAAGGATGGTATTAGAGCTTTCCTTCTTGATGGACACAACTCTACGAAAGGATCTGATATTGAACTTTGTCATACGAACTGTAACCTATTGGATACAGGAACTGCTGCAAATACTTTGAAAAACATTACAAGTTTTTTGCAAAAGAATCCGAATGAAGTAATTACAATCTTTTGGGAAAATTATGATAATATAGATCCACTTAGATACAAAGCTGAGTATGATAAAGCAAGTCTAACTCAGTACTGCTTCACACAACCTGTTGGTGAAACATGGCCTACTTTGACAGAGATTATTCAATCTGGAAAACGGGTTATTAACTTTATTGATACGAATGCTAATACTAATACCGTTCCATGGTACGAATATAGTTTATACTGTATAATGGTTTTATTATATTTATTTCTTGCTAACTTATATATTTGTTTACAGGCTAATGCCCGAATATTCTTACGTATTTGAAACTCCATTTGAAAACTCTGATCCTACGCTTGGCTGGGTTCACAAAAGAGATAATTTACCTGAGCTTCCGAAAAAAGTATAAAAAAATTCCGAATCAATTGAATCACTGTTGTGTAATGATCTACAAACTCGGGGCATACTCGGGACATTCCTACCAACCTATCTAAATTTTGATCAGAGAACCGGATTTGCAGGACATAAAGGTACTTCATCGTTCATAGGCAGAAGTTTGTCTGATTGGCTAATAAATTCAATTTAATTTTACATTATTTATAGAGTTTAGAGTACTTTTTAAAAAATGAAAACTAATCATAATGAAATAAAAAAAAAACTGTATATAGAAGGTTTCATTAGAGCTGTAGGACTCCATAGCCAAA